CAAATCGTAATAAATATTTGAAATTGTGTGAACATTTTGTGTGTGAATAATTATCAATTCATGAAAACATTATTTAATATATATGCGTGATCATCAAAGATACTATTGCAATTTTTGTTTTGCACATATGGAAGATGACTGTCATAATAAGAGATATGCCTGATAAGTTAATCAGTGAATTATTTATTTTCTTTATCTTCTATTTTCTTTATCTGTATCACACTTGCTTCTAAGTGATAATTGGATTATATTCCATATAGTTTTAAAATAAAAATAACATGACATTTTCATTACAATAAACAATTATGTTCAACACTCTTTATCAATTTTTATTTAACATATTTTTATGTTGCCAGGAAAAGAATATTATTCCCTTGCATTATTTTGTTGAAACCGGCCTTGTTCATCAGAGTTGAATCATCTCTCAATCGTCGATTAATCATAGCATTAGTAAGCGGAAAATACTTTTCGCGTCAAATAATTTCATACTCGTATTGTCCATAGAATTCTGGAATCAAAACACATAATTTCAAAGAAAGATTTTATACAAACGTAAAATTTAAAATTGATATCTTCCTAATGCTCAAACTATATCAAAATCTATTAATTTTTATACAGACAAAAGATTTTCAATGCGATGGACAATAATATGGCTAATGAGAAGCAGCACTGTAGACAGTGCGCAATTAATTAATTAATTCTAATTATAATTAGTAGCTTTTGTAAAATATAATCTATTGTGCATTACATTTATACACATAATACACACACACACACACACACACACACACACACACATATATTTATTTATTTATAATGAAGTTTTGACAGCGCGTCATTTTAGTTATAATTAGCAGTCCTCAATTGTAAAATATATAATTTGTTAATTGTGAGTTGTACTTTTATATAAAAGTATTTATTATTTATAATAAAAAATTCCGATTCATGTTATTTTAATTATAATTATGGTATTCTTCAAGTGTGAAGTATAATCCGTTATAATCGTGTATTACATTTTTATACAAAAATATTTATAATCAGAAATTTCAACATTATTCTAATTAATATGAAAATCGATCGTTATATATTTTCTCTCGTAGTGTATTTTTAACCTAGATACAATATCAGTTAAAATAAGTATTACGTCATATGAAATGAGGACTATCATTGTAATTATTTAGCGATATTATATTGTCGAGTCATTGATGAGATACATATTATCTCGCATGCATATTTCGACTTCTGTTGTTGCGATTTCTTATCTCGCTTATTTATACTTTTAATCTAGCTTATCTATACCTCACGTTACATATTGCATGTATTCAATATTTTGAAATAACACGACAGTAAGGCATTAAATTAATGAAAAAATTCTCGCATTTTTCTTCGTTCTTTTATTTGTCGTCGCAAAATGTATTTCGATCACATTTCATCGCGTATATTGTGAAACTTGACTTCGTTATAAAAAGACAAAAAATGCCTTCATGGTAGTATTAATTTATTATGTTTCATCGTAATTTTATTGATGAAGTATTTTCGTTAATATTTTCAGCATTTCATCATATTTGATCATAGTTACGTAATGTGGGACCAGCATGGCTATTCTTAAAATGTTTGTTCCTGTATTGCATAATTACGTCGAAATTAGTGACGCTGGTTCACGCACATATTCTCTCCTCGACATTTATATACATATAATATATATCCTTGTACTGGAATCTATACAATCCGGTGAATTGATAACGGACAGAGAATTTAATACATGTAGTGACTCAGCATTTATATTTCTAGAAGCGATGTATGATTGTCCACTTAATTGACCACATACTTAGTAGGACGCGCGAATCCATTGTCTGAATTCAGTGCTTCGCATAATTGTCGCCGAGCTCTACCTATTAGCAAGCGTACTCTCAACAAGATTGCAAATTGCCCTGTATCCTGGTGACCTTCAACTCTTATCTCCGTATTGTAGATCTTCAAAGCAGAAAGCAGATGTCATTTGTCACGATTGCGAATGCATACTGCGATCAATTTTGATATTAGCTAAATTAAAAGTTATTAACTTTTTAATCTTATTATTCAACTTACTGATTAATTAATTATTATTCAACATTAAAAATTATATATAGAAAATTATAATGTGAAAAACTTTTTTCTAAGAAAAAAGCCAATATAATTATTTAGATAGAAAGTTTGTATATATATGTATATTTTGAAACTTAAATATGCTGAAATATAACATTATACATCTCCTTTTTTTTCATTGATATATGATGCATTTGTTTCATCAGCAAATACTAGCGTGACATATTAAAGATCGTATGTGTCATATATCAAAACATTGACACCAGCATAAAAGTTTCATGGACTGTCTTGTTATTTCTTCTGAATATCTATGTCAAAACATCTGACCGCAATTCTTTGAACAGTTTAAAAATAACTTAATTTTCAAATTCATATTGATTTTTAGAGAGAAATTCATATTTCAGTACTGATACTGAAAATAAAAGTTTTTATCATCAATTAAGAAAAATGTCAATTACATATACTTTTTTTATGAAAATCTTAAAGATCATGTCATTTTATTTATATTTTAACTTCTTTAATCTAAATATGTTTATTTTGAACTTTCGAACAATTTAAAATTAATCTATATTGAAAATATATGAATCTATATAAAAATGAACGTAAGGGGGGTACTCGGAGTTTTTAATTCTTTACAACAGTTTTGGAATTTCTATTCGAAGTAGAGTTACTAAGAATAGAAATAGAATCAATTGTATTTTTTACGATCGATTTCCGTTGTTAAATGATGTAACACATTCTCTCAAATGATAAGCATACGATGCTTATCGGAAAGAAATAAAAAATGATAACACACATATTTGCAACACGTCAGCCGTCCACTAACAATATTGCTGACAGGAATTGTATGCAATTTCACGTACTGACAAGTGTATCAAGTTTCACATTATCAAATCATTTTTGACTAGTCATAATCACGTGAGTTAATGCTGATATAATTTCGCTGAGTTTCAAACGTGCGAAGATAATTCCTATTATTTTTATCATCAACATCCTTCGCTTTTTTTTTTTGCACAATGCGGGACATCGCAAATTGATCTCGTCCAAGCATGCATGAGATTTTGAAATTCTCGCAATTTCGTCGTCGACGAAACAGTATTTCGCAATCAACAAGTTTCTCACTAATGAAAACTATGATGAATGTAATAAAACGGCAATGTGTATGTGGGAAAGATAGCTCTGCGTGTGAATATATAGATGTGTGTGCAAATAATTTGTACTTGATACAAAGATTCGTAAGATCGTCATGTATGTGTTTATACGAAGATATATGACCACATGAGTCTTCAAGGTTCCATTCACGCCGCCGTTATATAAATGTGCTTTCTGATAGTCATTCCGCGAAATTCGCATTATATAAAAATACACAGTTGCACGTATTGTGCAATTCAAGTTTTCAGATTTGTCTATTAATAGAAAGTAGAGTGAAACAGCAAAAAAAATAAATGTACGATTTTGGCTCGAAATGCCAAGCTATTGAAGTAAATTTAGAGAAATTGATTATTAATGAGTTAGTATTAATTACTTATTTTAGTACTTAGATTGTTAGCATTTAGTAATTTAGCTTAGTGATTTAGTACAAAGAGTTTTTAATGATCATAAGTATTTCAATATCAAAATTTTGATATTAAAATCTAGATGTACACATTTTTCAACGATAAATTACTTGTAAAATTCGAAAGATTCAATTACTTGATAAAACACTGGTATTAATATTTTAAAAAATAAATTAGCGCAGTACTTTCATCAGTGTTTGAGATTTCCTCCATGTAAAATTAAAATATAATACTTTTATTTGTGATGAAATATTTCTTAATTAATTAATACCTGTGTGATTTATTATTATTTAAATGCTATTAACGTTTCTTTTAATTAGAGATTAATTAATTGGCAGGCAGTAGGTAATTGTAATAGCTATTTAATAATAGATATTTACAGGGAAATTGTATATGCTACTGATGATGATAACAATATATATAGAATAGCAATTTAACTCTCATAATTTTTAATATTTTATCAATATCAGTGTTTTCATTTTCATTATCTCAGTCAGGAATCAATACTGCCAAAGAATCACATATTATCAGTGTGTAATTTCTACATTTTTAGTAATATTCAGTAATGAATTTTTCTAAGAATAAAGCAAGATGTAACATTTAGGCAGCTAGAAATCAGTAAATTTTTTTCTGTACAGAATTACAGATAATATTTTAGCTTTCGTGTGCGCAGAATACAAAATCAAGAATACAGAATCTTATATTAATATATAACAAGAAAAAAAACAATTTCCAAAAATTTTTTATCGACAAAGTTCAAAATGTAATCGTAATAATTATGCGAGTCGTACAAAACAGGCGAGACGAGTTTGATGAGCAAATCTTTACAATAATGATGGCATATACATAATTTGGGATTTGTTCTAAATTTTAGAAAGCGAAATATCTACTAATGTTGACAAATTTTTGATCGGTTATTTCACTCGTGTCAATCTGTTAGTGCAAATACATTGCGCCATTACGCGCAATATTACATTCTATTTTTTTACATATATGACGCATACAAGTGCAGTTCAGCTTTTTTTAATCATAGAGAAATTTGTCACGTTTGAAACAATTTTAATTTTCACGCCAATTTTTCCAAACTTGATTATCGCTTCCACGATAAAGATGGATATACAATGAACAAAATAAGGATGGGGGGTTTTATTAGAATGAGAATTCAACAAATTTTGATTAACTTAATCGTTGATTAATTTCTTGAATCATATCTAAAATACCATTTATTAACGCATATAAAACCATTAATATCTTATCGCTTAATGTACGAAAAAAAAATGAGATCAATAAATTATGAAAAATTTTTATATTGAAAAATTTTTACATTTTCCTTGCGATTAATCTTGAATTTTTTAAAGGCAAAATTTGCTTGGAATTTTTCTCGCTTTTTTCGAGAAGAAAAAAAAGAGCAGCTCGTTTGCAAGCAAATCGTATATAATTTCCGTTAGGAGAAATCCCTCAGGGAAAAATTCGACCTGTCAAAACAACGGGGCTGATTCGCAACACGGGCGGAATGATGTGAATCAACGTAATCGCGAATGTGCGGCGCGCGTTGGCGATTTTCCCGCGTGGACCGCGACGCGCAATGATTGGCTAGGCTGCCTGACACGCCGCCGCGCGATACGCGATGAGCGGAGACATCGTGTCATATATCAGATACTTTCACTCGGTATGCTCGAACACGCTCGGACACGTTCGAGCACGGCGCACAATTCTACGGCGGTGACGACGACGACGACGACCATCACCACGACTGACGACGGATTGCTCTTCGGTCGTTCCTCGCAGACAACTTCAGAACGGCGGCAGCTACGGCTGAGTTGACACGAATGAATTGTGTTGTTCATAGCGGAAGCCAGCGGAAGCCACATTGATAGGCCTCCTCTTTGCTATGTGACATCCCTCTGTCTGTCTGCCTGCCTACTTGCCTGCCTGCCTGCCTGCCTACCTGCTTGCCTGCCTGTTCGCCGTTGCATCGTGCAACTTGTGTGCCGTGGTGCAGTGCGTTAATCACTGGCGTGACTGACGAAGACAGAGCGTTTCCTTAGGGTGAAGAGAGGGATTGATCTCTTTCCGCCGATCTTGGTGGTGTGTGCACGGCGTGACGCGGCACGGTGTGGTGCGGTACGGTGCGGTACAGTGCGGTACGGTGTGATACGGTACGGTACAGTACGGTACAGTGCGGTGCGGTGCGGTGTTGTACAGTGCGAACGGCTCGTTCACGCGAGAGTATTATCGTCGACCTTTAAATGTGTCAGCATGGAAAATCAAACGAGCGGACTGGATCAATTTTGCGGCACGAAATTCTGGGTGAGTGAGAGGAAAAGAGAAGTCAGGAAAATTAGATTTTTCCTTCCTTTACCTTCATCATTTGGAATTTTTTTTCCCTCTTTCCCCACGTTCTCGAAATCGTTACGTTACGGTTGATCCACGAATCGCGTTAATTCGAGAGGAAAAGATTTGTTCAGACAAGGCTGAATTTTCCTCGCATGGTCCATGATGGACTCGTCGTGAATCGGCCAATTGTCTCGTCGAACGAGGTTCTTTTGGGATCCTTCGACCTCTCACGCACGATCATGTAATCACCTTGGGATTCGTAAAGAAGAATTCATGTAGAATCAAAACGAACGACACTTTTCACTTTTTATTCTTCGCTCATTTTCACGAGTCATCGAGTGATCTCACGTCGAATCTAGCGATTATCGTTTTATCATTTTCTCTTCATATTCTGATGAGATATCACTTCGCTTTATCGCCTCGTGCTCAGCTTTCTTGCAAAAACATGCGCGCGCGTGCGCGCGCTAATATTCCGTAATTATAAAGCCGATACGATAAATCAATGTTATTTCCTTCGGTTGTGCGATATTTCGATTTTGATCGAGATCGCGGAAATAAATCACGCTCGTGTGGACAAAGCAGCATGAGATGGGAGCGTAATCTTGGCGCCGCGTGTGCAAATACACAAGTATTATTAAAACAAGCGTTTATCAATCGGTGAAATCCGCATATCTTTGTGGTGTTCTACTATTCTCCCGTATGTGAGATCAAAGACAATATCGAACGAATGCAAGAATGTCTGCTCTCTTATGACAAACAATTCGATAATTATCGCGCTCATGCAATCCATAAGAATGATATCTATTTCTATTTCTATATATGTAGGTTAATTCTGTTCTCGATTTAATTTACTCTATTGTTTTCTAATACCAATATTAATATTAATATTGACATTTGAAAAAGTTAATGTTACTATTAAGCATTAGTATTATTGACATTAATATCAGTAGTAGTTAGTATATAATCTATATATAGTATATTCATAGTAGTATAATATTAGTATTAAAATCAGTTTTGGTAATCATCGATTAGTACTAATATCATTAAAACTGATATTAGTATTAATGTTGATTTAATATAATATTTGATACTAATCCTAATGTTTGATATTAATATTATATTTGATACTAATATTTATAATTTTTTAATTAGAATTAAAAAATAAATTAAAACATTGATAGAAATGAACATGAGAGCACGAATCGAGAGAGATACTTGACCTTCCAGTGATAAAAATGGACCATCCTTGATTTTCAATTTGGACCGAAGGCCTGTAACTTTTTAGGAAATATTTGAGTGATTGCGTTGTTCTTAAATCTTTTGATTAAGAAAAAGATATCGCTGTTCTTCGGGAATATTTTAAGAGGCTAACGACGGCATAGACTATAGTTATGACAGAGAAA